GGACTCAATGCCCTCTGGAATTGGACATCATGCTGGAACTTTTCACCCAGCATTTTAGCAAACAGCAGGAATTGATGCTTTCACACTAGGAATCAATTAAAGAAACCCAAATTATTGCCATTTGAATAAACAATTATTTCTTTTTCACCCTCACAGAAGCTTGTTAAGATGAACTAAAAGCCAGCACTAATTAAATGATCTGATAGCACAAATCGTATCAGAAATGTTTCATCTAGTTTAATTAATTCTTGCCAGAAATCACTGTTACTCTTAGCATATGCCGCATGATATTTTAAATGATTTTTTTTAACAGTTTCCATTTATATCTCTTTCTAGTACTGCTGGGATTCTCACTCTCTGCAGATAAAGTGGGAGTGTTTACAGAAGCTCTTACTGTCAGGGAGATTTTTAACCCTGGAGACAGACAGTATGGCAAATACCTTGTAGGTCAAGAGAAGGGACATTTACACCTGAATCTAAGAGGATTTTTTAACTGCATGAGGAGACAAATAATAAATATGTTTTCCCCTCCATCCTGGTTAGCTCTTAATTTGCTGGTAACAAATTCTCTGATGAAAATGCAGTGGCTATCACTAGGAAGGACAGCTCTAGAACTCAACACTGTGCAGTCTCACTAGCCTTTTTTCTCTTATACATGAAATGCAGGCAGATCATGTTGGTTATCGCTAGCCAGCTCTACTGTAGGGCATTTCTTTGTCAAGCAGAACAGGTCTTAGCCTGATTTCCTGAGCCAGTTGACAGAGATTTGTACCCAGAACTTGGGATTGTGTGTACGGTCTGCAGCTCACACCTGAGTCAGGAAAGTATTTCTAAGGGGCATGAGGATGCTGTTGTCAGCTTGCTGTAGGACAGCTTCTGCATTTTGGCTCTTTGTATATGGTAATGGAAAATTTCTTCTCCTTATGAGATAATCTGGGAAAGCCCAAACTGTAGGAATGTGCCTGTTTTCAGAGACCTGATTCTGGGCCTCAGGGACTGGAGGAGGTTTGGATTCAAAACTCAGTGTTGTGGTCTACCTCTTGATCTTGAACTAGTGTTCCATGACACACTAGTACATACTGTGTCCATACGAAGGTAGGAACAACCATAAATAGTGTTTAGCTTTGTAGTCTTCAATGTCTGTGTTTATCTCTCACTTGATACTGCATTCATTGCTCAGCCAAAACTCCAAATCAAGGGGTTGTAAGTGATCACAGAACAAGCCCTCACATGCTACAGCTGTGTTGGAATTGCAATACTAGGATTTGCCTTCGGTTGTAGTCACAGGACAGTGCTGTGCAGACTGGCTACAGATATTCTTACCACCAGGAGAACAGAGGCTTGCTGTAGAGACTGCTACTTTGGAAGTGAAGACCAGAAAAATAAGAGAATAGCATTATTTTCCATCTGACTTTCCTGGGGACAAGTGACAGGCTTTAAAGTTTAAAATAGCACTATTAAAGCAGTATAAAAATGTACATATTCAAGACATGTCAGTAAGATGGGACATTGTCACAGAATAATGGGTGCTAGCTAGTCAGCATTCAAAGTAGGACAAAAAAGAGGAAGATGCTAATGTGATTCTCAGCTTCCTAGGGAGCAGAGAACGAGAAATAAATGGAGAAAAGGGCCAGCCCAACACTTCTGAGTGTACCCCTGCCATGGTTAAGAGTGTTTGAGCAGGGTTCTCTATGGCCACACATTTCAGGGCAGCGTTTGTGCTACAGCAGAGATTGCACACTCTCTCCTCTTCTATCCGTGCCTTAACTGACACAGCAGCAAAGTGTCTGTTAGCATCTTACACCTTTCCATCTTGGAAATGTGGTGAGCCACAAACCTTTTCAAAAGCAAGGCCTGAATAGCCCTCCCCATGCCCTCACCAGGGTGGATTGTGCAGGTCAGCTGTGGGAGCTGTTCTGCTCCAGCTGGAGAAGCTGGAGTGCTTGGCTGCTTTGTGGCTGTGATACAAGAAAACTGCTGGGCATGAGAAAGGCTTTGTCTTTCTGGAAGATGGGTTGCCTCTTTCCCTGCCTCCTCTGTTCATATGGGTGCTTCAGTATCAGTAGCATGGCTCCTTTTGGTGTTGACTTTGTGAATTGTGATAATAGCAGCACCTAGAGCTCTTCCTCCCCAGGGCACTACCAGAAATGCACAATGATGCTGGCAGGATGGTGAGTGGGCTCAGTGTTGGAGGGTGGAGCGATGTCCTGCAGTACTCTGCAAGGACAAGGGTTATAAAGTGACTATGTATTAGTCCTGAGGAAGAGACTAGCTGTCTCTTGGACAAAGTGGGTGTCAGCCCACCACTGCCCCCAGTCCCTGGCAGCCTCCCCACAGACCAGTTTCCCTTGCAAAGAGAAGGCTTCAGACTGTCCTGTGGTCATGTGCCCTATTCCCCAAACGTTTGCACTCTGCCTTTGAGACAGCACAGGCTCAGTGTGTTATGGCCATATTGGGGCATTGCTCAAACAGCACAGTTAAGGTTGTGTTTGCTCATATCTTAACTCTTTGTTTACTGGTTTCCAAGGGAATAGCTAGGACTGACATTCTAGAAAGGCACTCCATGCTCCCGGCAACCTTCATGAATTTCTTTGTCAGCAAAATTCGTACTTTTGAAAGTTTATGGGAGGAATATAATATGTGATCACATTGATCACAGCAGTTTACATGGATTGGAGATGCTACTGCAGCTATGTATGACTAAGTGCTACTTTGCAGCCTGGGCACTTCATAACACTTACTGGGTGACAGAGGCAGTACTTGGCTATGTATGTCCTGTTAATAAGGCAGTGTGAGGGATCCCAGAGTAACACCTGCCTGGAGTGGGGCAAGCAGTCATGCATTCACCTTGCACAGGCCCTAGGATAGCTGGCTTGTAGCCAGCCCGGTCTGCAAGCCAGCCCGTGGCATTAGCCAGCAGACATGCACAGTTAGCATAAGCGCTGGGCTGAGCGGGCATTGAAGCATGCCGTTGTACTGGAGTTGTTTTCCTTCTGGCCAGCCTGAAACCCAAGAAAGGCAAATGTATGTGTAGCTGTATCTATGCCCATATACCTCTTCTGGCTTGGTCTCAGTTATTTTTATTGCTCCTTTCTTTTTCTGCTCTCCACAAATACTTTTCCCTATATGCCATTTCTAATCTCATTAAGCAAAACGTTCTATCTGCTGCCTTATTTCCTTTATTACACGGTCTACATGGTGCAGGTGAAGTAGGTTAGACTTTCTCAGTGACATGAGGCAAGCTGTAGGCCAAACTGACTTTTGGATCTCTCTTAAACTGCCCATGGTTCCAAAAGCTCAGCTTCCTGCCTCCACCTGTCAGTCTTAGCCTTGGTCCATCCCTTAGTCTGCCCCTTAATTCCAGCTGAACCTTATAAGGTTGCTTAATGTTTTTCACTCTTTTTGGGTGCATTTCAAATTCAAACTTAGAGTTGCTTCATTTAAGAAGAATTTAAACAAAACATTCAGACTTTTTCCCTTTTGTTTTTTTCTCCAATTGAAGCAGTTCAGAGTAAACTGGAAAATTATTTTGCTTAATTCAAATCCATATTTTGGAGGTTTGGGGAAGGTAGTGGGCTTCCTTTTTGCTCTGCTGCCTAATTATTTAGTCACTTCAATAGTGATCATTTAATGAAATACCCAGCAAGTTACTTCTGAGGGCTGGGGCTGTTTTTTTTCATTGCGGATAAATATTTTCCTTTTATGAACAAGATAGTTTCCTCAGTGTCTGGTTTTCATTTTTAGGGGATAGTCAGCCAACTGACAATCCCACTAGCCAGCACTGATCCCACTCAGCTGGAGACTTTGCAGTATGTGCTATCACACAGACCCCACATGGCAACACTTTGTACAACAACCAAAAAAAGACAGGCAGAAGAGGGCATGTGACACTAAATCCCATCATCTGAAGAGTCCACAGAGACTGGAACATTCCTTATGCATGTTACCCAAAAGCCCAAAAGGTGATGAGTGACACTTCCCACTTTCATTTCTTTGGGAAGATTCGGTGTCATCACACATGTCTCTACTTTGCCACTAGTTTTTGACTATTTCCTGACAGAAAGTAAAGCGCCAGCCTTCTCTGCCTCTTAATGATCAATTATTTTTAATTGGAACCTCTTGCATTGTGCCAAATTTGAGAGGCCCCCGTCAAGATCAGGGCTCCAGCAAGATGGGAACAGTACCACCACATACATGGGGATAATAGAGACATTTTTTGTCGCAAAAAGCATGATCCTATTTAGAGAAGGGCCAAAAAAGAAATGGAGGTAAGGATGATTGGAAGGATTTGCAGACCATGGGCAAGTCTGGGAACGGTATGACAGTCTCTTGACCCCTAGTCAGCCCTGTCTGAGTCAGAGCCCTCTCTGCTGGCACACACTGTTTCTCATTTACCAATAAAAATGTCATTGTCTGAAGAATTACATTTAAGGACAAATAAAATGGGCTGGTATTGCTACAAGGAACTTCACCAGCTAAATAAGATGTGGCCAGATGGAACTTGTGAAAATAACGGTTATCATGACACAGTCCTTCACAGGGTTGTTTCTATGTATGTAACTCCTTTAATGTCTGTGTTCAAGTAATGTATTGAGGGCAGTGGTGGCATGTTGACCAGAGGACATGTTGTTAATAAAGTTAGTTTTAATGAAAATCGATAGCAAAATGGAAGAGTCATTCAAGTGATATTGCTGTGTCTCTTCAGATTGTTTTCTGAGGAACATTTATTTTCAGTTCTCTTGCTTAGAGGTTTCTATTAAGATTTGATTCAGAATTCTGCGATGTAAGTTCTTTACTTGAGGAAAATGTGAGACATGGAGTTAAAGTGTTAGCGCTGTTAGTTGATGTCGACTCTTAGTCAAATGGCAAAAGCCTGAAGGAATCTCAAAGGTAGAAAGCAAAATCCTTGTCTGTGGGCAGTGATACAAAGCTCTGTGCCTTCACAGCAAAGCAAAACTATTCACCAATTAATTAATCTTTGCAGATAAGGGATTTCTTACCAGAAAAGACAGTTTCTGCCTTACAGCAACTGTAAAGTACAGTCTTTGGCGTCTTATAACACACAGATCCAGGGCTTCAGTTTAGCCTACCATAAAAGCAGAAGGTTACTGTGGGATTTGGCCTGGGCTCTGGAAACCCAGCCCACCTCTTATCCATGCCTTAGAAGAGGAATACGGTCCAGGCATAGGCATTGTTTAGCCCCTGGGGACGTGGGTGCTGTTTGGTCTCTTCCCATGGTTGCTATGAGCTGCTGTAGAGAGGCCAGATCTTTGCCTTCATCTACTTTGTGCCTAAATTCTTTAGCCATCATGAGAGTTGTTTCTGCAAGTCCAATAGCTGATTTACTATCTTCAGTGAGCAGAATGTGTAAAGAAAAACAGTGTGAGTAAATCCTCTCTCTAGAAGGGCTTTCTATCCCCTCGCATAATCCCGCTCTCTCTCCGTTCCAGCCTGGTATGCATAGTTGTATAAGGGTGTCAAATGACATCCCTTTTACTGGCTGTTGGCCCTAATGGAATGCTGCTTTGCACATCTCGTAAAGGAAGGACGGGAAATGCTGCCTGAAACTTTTACATTTCGACCTTAATTTAAGATAAAATAAGATAATCTAAAAATTGAGAGGCAGGAGCATTGCAAATAAGAAATGCGCTTTTCACCATGGATTAAATAAAAAAAGATTCCGTCTTTACATTTATTTTTTGACCCTTTTCAAAGACTGACTTTTCCTTTAGATAATCAAAGCTGGCTTTGAACTAGCACACACAAAAAAATCTTTTCTTTAAAAATAGCCCTATAGATATATATACATATCACAGCCTTTCATTCCTTTCATAGGCGGCTTCATTTTCTGTGGGAATGTGAAAGTTCTGAGCAATCCAGAGCCCGTGCAGGCACCACAACAAACACAGGGAACAGGGTACAGGCACATTACTGCAGTTAACACCAGTGTTTAATTAGCAGAGAGTTGCACTGGGCAAGGGTTTTGATTTTCTCTCTTTGCTTCGTTTTTCGTGAGAGATTTACCTATAGTTGTAACTTGCAGCTGTTACACTAGTATGCACTCACACCACGTGCACGCACACGTATACACATATGGAATATTTGTAAAAGGAAGCCATGTCAGGCAACTGATCTGATTTGTGCTTTAGGTAAATATTTTTGGAAGTAGCTCCTTTGGACTGTCTTCCATAAGTTACATTTTTGTTTGTTTGCGGGGGGGGGGGGGGGCTGCTATAACTTAGAGCATGCTTTGATGCATTTAGGAATTCTTTTTGGTTTGTTACTTTACTTTATTTAGCAATGAAAACCTGATGTGTGGTGAAGGTGAACGGGTGCAGATGTCTCCCACAGAAAAGGCTGGCAACATACAAATGATTGCCCCAGTCAGCTTAGATGCCTCCGTATTTTATTGGTGAAAGAAGTATAGTAGTCTCATGCTCTTCCTGTTGTTGAGGTAGGAAAATGTCCAAACAGCCAACAAATCCTTCTACTTGGCCATCTTTAGTAAAGAGAAAAATGTTGTTGGAGGTCATGGTAACAGAAAAATACTGTTGAAGAACTAAGAGATGAAGTGAAAACATAGCAGGAAAGGTGGCTTTTCACTGCTAAGGACTTGGATGAAACCTCGGATAACTGCCTTAGGCCTACTATTATCATTTAGACCCTGCCTGCAGCAAGCTCAAGTGAGCTGAAATGATTTAAAGAGCATCAGCAGAGGTGTCATGGAGCCTGTTGATAATGATAACAACCATGTTTATAACATATAGAAAATGAGAGACTGAGTAGTACTGCAAGAGCTAAGCACACTATAGCACCAGCACAAATGGGTCCAGCTCCTTATCTCTGCCGTACCTAAGCACCAATATAACACAAGTCCATTCTGTTTGACTGCAGTCGACAGCTGTTGATTTTCATGCATGCCCAGTTCAGTGTAATTTTCTAATTACCTAACTTGTGTCTTTATACCCTCTCACACTTTAGATTAGAGCCCTGACTAGAGTGATACTCCTGTGAAAGCATGTGCTAAGGTCTGCCTGGTTTTAGATAAGCTATTGGAAAACATACAAATAATTTATTCTAGTTGGTGTTCTTAATGTGGCTTTCTCCAGAATGGGACCTACTTGCAAAACATAGCATCATAGAACCATAGAATGGTTTAGGTTGGAAGGAACCTTAAGATCATGTAGTTTCAACCCCCTGCCATGGGGAGGGAGCCCCCCAACACACTATAGAACAAAGATCTGACAGAGATATTGGTACAAACCCTATTATTGTTGTATTGACTGTCTTCTGATTTTGAGAGTATTTATTCTCACAACATTCCTATAATATAGGGAAGTGCCACTGTTCCAATTTTATTGACAAGGAATTAGAGACAGAGATGGGATTTTCTAGTCAATTATCAGGACATGCGTCTAGGAATTGAAGCACTTACGAAAGTGCTTTCCATGTACCTGCCTGCATTTGAATACTGCTGAAAGTCTGGCTGTAAGTGATCTGTCCACCATCTGTGACAGTGCAGGTAATCAAGCACTTGTCTTTCAAATCCTAGATTAGTGTCTACTTGCTAGAACACCCTTTTGTGTCCATCCGAGCCAGATAACGTATTTTTCTCCTGCTACAACTCCTGACAGAATTCCCCATCCACCACAAGTTTGTTCACCAGCCCCTTGTTGTATTAGCTTGAGGAAAAGAGCAACACGCTGGGAATAATCTTACTTCTTGCCTGCCCTGAGAATGGCATTGCCTTCCCACAGATTGGTTTGGGAACAGTGCTGGAATTCCCAGTGCCTCCAGTAAAGCTGGAGGTAGGGGAGAACTGGACCTCTTTTTTTTCTTTTTGTCTTTCTAATTGTCATCCTAGCCTTTGAGATCCTACTCTTAATAGCAAGGATATGGCTACCTTCGTAGCCACACAATGGGGTTAATTTCCAAGACCTGTGCAGCCAAAGCCTCCTCATATAGACTACTCCTCTGGGTGGCACACACTGATTTCCCCTGTGTATTTGTAAGAGTAACATGCTTAAGCAAAGGGTTGCATATAACGAACCCGAGTTGTGGCACAGCTGGGGAAGCCAAAATGGACAAGTTGTTGCTAGCAGGATTTCCTGACTAATATGGTTAAGTGATCCCCCAATTTACAATTGTTATTTAAAAATATGCTCTAGGCCCTGCTTATTTCTACTTTTTATCCATATTCTCATTTATCCCAGTCCCATAGTTTCCTGGCATGGTTAGGCCAGCTATACAGAGAGAAGCAAGCAATGTAGAGGAGTATGCACTCATGACCCTGTTTGGGCCTGTCCTCATGGTGTATCATTCAATCAAATCCTATCTATCTGGCTGCTGCTGTGGTAAAGCTGTGCTTGAACCCAGTCTTTACCTAGATTAGGAGAAAGTGCTGTGCTTTTCTACCACTCATCTGGTTTTGAGACAAGCAGTGCCCAGCCACCTGAGCCAGGCAACCTTTGCCCTCGGATTTAAACAGCATCAAAACCCTCCCCACATTCTCATCTCACGGTGGTGCAAACTGGTTGTCTGAGCAGTGTTAAACTCTGATGGACATATTTCAGTTTTGCGTTTGGGCATTATCTTACTCAAAATGTGTTGGTTCTAAGTGGGGCATTTGGGAACTTGCCTTGTGCTATATTTATTCTCTCAATCCTATGTTTTCCTGTGCAGTGTTGTAGCTGCCAAAACCACACACTCATGTTGGCATGAAACAATTACCCTGGTTTATATAGACTTGGCAATAGTCTATGTCAGTGAACAGTCGTGAACAACACTGAAGATTCAGAGCTGTCTCTTCCTTTCCAAGCAACAGACTGAATTTCTTTCAGCTGAATTCACGGCTTTAAAAATCAGCAGGAATAGAAAGAGTGTATGCACAGTACCTGTAAGGTCTGGAAGGAAGTGAGAATGAGATGTAGAAAAAAAAGGCTATTTAAGATCCAAGCTAGCAATTTGGTTTCTAAACCCATGTGAAATTATAAGTAATGTTTACTGTTGCCAGCTGGTGAACACAGAGATGTGTGGTTTTTATTTGCATGCAAAGCCATTGGTTGTGGGTGAAGTACGTAGACAAAAACATTAAATCTCTGGTGTGGGTATTCCACCAAAAATAAACCCAGACAAACACTGATGTATTATAAAAGCACTTTTTTCTGTGGAGGCAAACATTCAGTTGCTGCTATTGGTGAACTCTAGAACTGTTAAAGATGCCTGTTTAGCTTGCCTGAAATAATATTACTTTCTTCTAGAAAGTAACATAAATGTCTCTGAAACTGAAGAACCAGTGTCTATGTGTTTCTCCTGAAAATGTAGTATATGGTGTAAACATAGAAAGATCTTGATGAATGATAACTATTACTTGCCAGTATCTTGTAAACTAAAAATGCTGCATAGACAAGAGCCAAAGGTGAAGGGCAGGAAACTTTTCTTAAACTTAAAAAACTGTTAACTGAAAGTGGACTTAAACATTAGTGGAAACAAAATTGTTTTGCAGTGGTTAGCAAAGGTTAGTACAGGGTTATTTTCCCTCCTTTTTCTCCAGTCAGCTTCACAAAGAGATTTTTTTAATTGTACCCCATTCTGAGACTTAACTACCACTTTGTTATCATAATGGTGATAGAGATTTTTATTCCAGAAGGCCAGACGCTATCACTACTTGAAATTCTCCAAATTGTTTCCACTGTGAGCAAATTCAATGCAAGTCACATCTGCTTAAAAGTGAGTAGCAGTTGCTTCTACTTTACAGCAGCAGCAGCATCAAATTTCACCTCCAATCTCAAATTTGAAAACCCAACTCAAATCCCAGTGTTTTGATAGTTTTGCATAAGTGATTTGAAATCCAGAAGTACCTAATAGGAAATACTGAAATAAAAGCATTCAGCTTTAGTTGTTTCTGGTGGAAACAGAGACATTTCCTTTCAGATATGAATGTCTCATGAACTGAAAGTCTAATTTTTTCCACATATGGACAAAAGGGTAGTGATCACACCTAAATGGAGCTTCTCATCCAGCTAGCAGGAATGGGTGCCGAGTGGAGAGAAGAGCAGCAGGACAGGCTGCTTGCGTGAACTGTGGGCTTAGTTGTCCATGATGTATTAAGGACTAATTGCATGTTTAGCAATGCAGGTGTGGCTGTCCAGTACAGGGGTGTCAG